GGGCACTCGATATTTTCAATGGCTTCTGGCTTTGCACCAAATCACGCCTAAATGAATGTCCCTTAAGCCGGAACTTAACAAGGTGTCACTGCTAAGACCTTTCCATAAAGGTAAACAGTGCTCATATTTGCTGCGGCCTTTCTGCAGCCAAGAAAAATGAATGTGTAAAGCCAGAGATGTCTCTCTGAACTGAAAAGAGCCGGTTTGCAATCTGCCTGCTGAGAGGCAGGCCAGCGGTAAAAAAATGTTAGAAAACATTGTTAAAATGAAAAAGGGGAAACGTATCCTTCGGATTGCGTGATATGTGAATTTCCTAGTTCAGTGTGGGTTGAAATTTTCCCAGATTAAATGTGATTTTATCTTGGAGACTCTGGTGAACAATAACAACAAGCCCTCAAAGATACAGGAGTAAAGAAACCACTACAGCCGTTTTTTTTATACTTCTTTCACCTTAAATTAGTCTCAGAGAGCAGAAGGCTGTTAGCTGTGAAATCGATGACTTACGGTGTGCAGACCTCCTCGCTTAAATTCTCCTCATAAGAGGAGCAGTGGCGGTCTCGCAGCGGTCGCTGTCCGGTAGCGGCTCCTGGGCCGGATCGCTCTCGCTTCCCCCCATCTCTGCGGGAGCCACTGCTGTTGTGCCCGTCTGTAAGGTCACATTAGGGTTATCGCCATTGTTACGGCTATTATGGAATGATCTGCCGGTAAACGTTCTATGAAGTTCTTTTTACTAGCGGTGTATTGCTTTTGGGACTTATCAACTCAAAAGTACACGAACCAATTTAATGTAAAACCACGAGATTTCTGGTAACACTGAATGTTGCCGTTCCTCGGGTGCTGTGATGCTTGTCCCCACGTTTTTAGTGGCTTGTTAAAGAGTAAAAGCAGAGATTCAGTGTCATTATGTTATAAAGTTAAAAATTCTCATAAAAGCCAGCCAGTCGTTACACCCTTTTCCAAATCTCGCCTTTTTGCAGTTAAATCATTGAAATTACCGACTCTCTTACAGTGTGTGTGAAACAGCTAAATTTCCTCATTCTTCCCTGAAACTTGTACTCGGCGAACATTAAATGAAAAAACAAGCAAATACGATTAACTGCTTTAACTGAAATGTTATCATTTATATTTTATGATAGAACTAATTCTTTTTAACAGGTAATTTATATAGGCTACATTTTTCAGGGACTGGTTTTTCCTTGGACGCGCGATGTGGAGGCATAGAAAACGCAGAAAAATCATGGTTATTTCACGGTTGAGGCTTCGGCATACTGGACCCAGTACGGCGTCGCGTAAGTGTTGACGAATGTCAGAAGTGAAGCCGAAGACAGATTTTAACCAGGGTTTTTTTCCGTTAATGAAAAAAGTCTGTGGATGACAGACGCATTTGTCGACATTTTTTGTCTCTAACCTTTTGTTCCGATGTAGGTTTTTAAATCAACATTATAAATTATCGCTATATAATAATAATAATAATAATAATAATAATAATAATAATAATAATAAACAGAAAGTGACAATTACAATAAGCTCGTTTGTCAGTAGCACATAATTTGATTTACTAATGAAGCCTATATAAGAAGCTCATTAATTTCAATTGTATCTTTGAAATCCCACTTTGTCGACCCGATACTTATCTTAATTACGCCTGAATTGTTCCAGGGATCTTGAAAGGTTAAATAACTTGCAAAATAAAACGGATTTTGGAACTGTCTGGAAAACAGATGCAGTTTTAACTGAGTGTACCATAGTATCCTGATGTATGGGTTGTTAGTTCGAATTTAGAATTGCTTCACTGTTCTGCTGTATGCCCGCAAATAGTCGAATCACTAGAGGAGGCATGACGTGTGTTCTTGATAGCATTAAACACAAACCACATTGTCCAGAGATTCGGGGCTCTCTCTGTGCATATTCCACACCCCTGTGGAAAACATATTAACCAGTCCGGTCAAATGAGGCCAAAGTGCACCGATATCTGACTGGATCCTTACCGGTAGCTTCCTACGTTGAGTACATTTATTGAGCTTATTTTAAACTCACCATTTTATACTGTTTTAAAAAGTATAAAGTTAAGTTAGTCTTGGAGGAGTAATTGGTTACCAGGTGCGAGCAAAAAGAAGATTTAAAAATAAACGCGGAGTTTTGGGATGATTCTATAGTAGTGATTAATTATTGTGGAAGTTTTTTTAAAATTTGTTTGTAAATCGCATTCGGCACGTAATCACCTGGGGATGCTACAGGTGGAAGGAGTGGCATGAGGATATAGCTTTAAGGTGCTTCACAGTGTGATAAAGAAGCTCAGTCATGCGAATTATAACTCTATTGCGACTGAGGACATAAAGCAGGGACGGATGCGATCAGCCTTTGTTACGGATTTCACATCTGGACACTTATCTGCTCCTCAATTTCACACATGAATTCATCACTTCCACGGACTTGGCCAAAGGGGTTGTTTCATTCGATGTAGACGTTAATAACTGTGAATGGATACAAAAATTAGGACAAGCAGTCTGTTTTATTTTGAATGAAGAACGAATCAAGGCACATGATTTGTAAAGAGTTCTTTTAACTAGGTTTAAATGAATTTTCTTCACATTTTTCGAGTCTTAGAGAGAATCATTTACCATTTCTGTAATTGGCCTGTAAATCCGAAGCAAAGCTGGCATTTAATAATAAACTTCATAATACCTAAACGAAAAATAAAAAATAAGTGTAACATTGAGGAAGCACTTAGCATGTAGGTAAGTGGATTTGTGTTACTTTTTCTTCCCGTTGTCATAGGACATGGCGACTCGTTTACACTTAAATTAATTAGAAATTATTCACGTGAAAAAGTCGCAGTGTGAGATTGTTCATCCAAAGTTTACCGTCGCTCTGCAGGTGGGCGCTTTAATCGCAGTCAAAAATAGGCCAGATTTATACAGTAATGTAGTCTCAACCACTTTAGTCAGTGAAAGGCTGCTTCTGTCGTTCTCTTCTTTACGCTCAGTAAACCGGAGAACCAACCAACAACGACACGTCTGAAAAAGAGCGTGGATTTCACCTCTGTGCACGAATTGGATATTGAAATTTTAATATTTCTCTGTATTTTTTTTAGTTCTGGTTAGATTTCATTTGTGGTTTTCATTTATCACAACTGTATTGACCGTTGTGATTACTGCAGTATATAAATCTATATTTCACGCGTTGGAATATGTAATATCGCATATTTCATTTTACTTGGCTGTTACCGACTCCCTTGCCGGAATGAGGGGGTGGGGCGCGACGCCGAATGCGAGTAACTGTCTGGCTTGGGATCTTTGGACCACTGACTGTTTGGCAATCGGGGACGAAAACATTGAGTGAGTCCCCACAGAGACGTGGCTCTAAGTCGGGACTTTCAGTAACATCTTCTCTTGGCAAGAAGCTTAATTAACAAAACTGTCACACCACGGCGGCTCCGGCGCATGCGCAGAAGCTGCGCCGCTAGTTTTCCACGGTGCTTTTGACTCGCCGTTGATTAGATTCAATAAGGGGAATTATGTGACCCGGAGTTAATTTGAATTCCTTGGCCTGAAACTTTTCCATTTAAACGCAATGCGGAGCAAAACGCCTTCAATGGCTACGCCAGGTTACCGGATTTACAATATAGGTAGTTCACCGGGAAACGGTCATCACCAGGCGCCTGATTTATATTTTGATTAGGTAGTAAGTGTCAGGGTGGAAAGGTCTGGGGAGTTTTAATGTAGATTTAAAACACTTACAATCTTGAAGTGAAAAGAGGTCCCCAATGAGCACTGCGGGCTCGGGGGAAGGTATTTTAATGGCACACTGATCCAAACAGCCCTGTTTGTTGGACCCGCCTGCTTTCATAGGGCGGCATTGTGCAGCGGTTTCTAGACGGCAACACACAACAGCAAAGGTGATTCACCCCCCGCAGAGGTCATGTACAGAGCGCCTTAAGGAAAAAAAATCAAAGAACTCCGACAATTGATCTAACAGCCCAACGGCTGAATGCACATTATGCCCTACATGAAATAAGAATCATGTTTGCAGGCATTCCCGCAAAGAGCCCAAAAAGAGAATTTACAGGAAATGTCTGGAAATGGAAAAAGTCGAGTTGATTTTGTTCATTTCTGTCTTTGGTACTGCTTGTGTTTACAGTGTTAATAACCTCATAATATGTCATTAACTCGTATATGCTATGAAGCTTGTGAAGGCTTCGCAAATAAGCACTTCTTCATTCATTACTTGGATCAGCGCAGTCGTTTATCTAAATAAACATGCAGAAGCATCCATCCACCCATGATAAATTACGCTAAAGAAATTAAGTGATACTCCGAGTTTTGTTTTACCGGACTGGCGCAATACATATCAAGTAGGTCAGAAAGTCAACAGAATTGATCATGGTAATCCGACGCTGACAAAAACAGTCAACTCACTGAATAGTCGGCAGCGTTTAATAGGCTAGAATTGAAAAGGCTTGTTTTATGTGCCAATCCAGCATTCATGCACTGAATAATTCAATCATAAAACAAAAAACGTTTTGTTGTACTTATTTCCCAAAATGTTTAAACGGGTTCACGAATACGAAAATGTAACAAATGTAGTAGAAAATACGTGATGGTCAGGAGGATGATTTTCAAATCGCAGGAATAGTTACTCTAAAATTATCTTGCGTTGTTAAATATCTAATTACGTAGGAACATCGCCGTGTTTTATGTGTTATCCTGTATTGGATAAGCAGATGGAAGTTTTTGTGTAGCTGTGAACATGTGTTTTCTACTTGTCATAACTTTTATATGCTACTGTTTTCCATCTTACTAAAAGTTTCAATAAAACATTTTTTTTGGGCACGTGACAGACCCAGATGATTAATGCCGTATACACGTGTACGCGAATACCAACGATTACACATCTATTCCAAATAAGATTCGACATTTAAACGAGTTGTATATAAGGACATTCTAACTATTCTTTTCACAAAACACAAGGCTGCTCGTACAGAAGCACCAACTTGAAGTAAAACAGACGGATATTTGACAATGATACTCCTGAATGTATACACTTCAAGAATACGTGCTAAAAGCGATGGTGACCCGCGATACACCCAGAGTTAATAATCCCATGTATGCGCGTTGTGGGCTGGCTTCGCACATCGGCAGCCCAGCAATCGTAGCTGGCACCTCATTCCAGCGGATATGTGGAGCACCAGCAAAACCCCTCGCTGGCTTGTTGCCGGAGAGCCAGGATCTTTCTGTTTGTACGAATCGCTCGCTGGATTCCGGCTGCAAGGAGCAACAAGTGCATAAGCGCGTGGGAGAAAAGATCATGTCATTAGACGCTTAGGTATCCGAGGAGGGAAAAGTTATCGAGGGGAACCTCAGAGTGCTACCGACGCAGAAAGGAAACAGATTACCGAGCACCTTTGCCTGTGCTTTTTGTCTTCCCAATAAGTTGTGTACGGTTTTCAATCCATGCTGCATTTTTAAAGAATGGCCGCTAAATTGGTATTAGTCCTGCAGTTGTCCGTGTGCTTGAGTTATCACTTTGGGATTGTGGCAACCGAGGAGCCCCCCCGAGGTACCCAGGACAGCGGTTCCGCGGCTGGACATGACGTACCGGCGCCGGACAGCTTTACCCGGGACACGCTGACGAGCCGTATGTTCAAACTGTACGACAAATACAGCCGAGAACTTAACCGTCCGAGAGACGGAAATACAGTGCGAAGTTTCAGGGCGACTCCAGGTGAGCGCGTTTCCACCCATCATACATTGCTGGTCCGATATGGTCAATAACCATGACGAAATAAATAAATGAATGGATAATAATGATATCAATTAGCGACTTTCGTGCTGTACATTAATATTTTACGTAGCATATTTCTATATATTTTTTGTAAAATGTCGTCGGCCTATCAATATTCATTCTAATGTGTGTTGATATTTCAATATGCCGAGCTCATTATATATATATATATATATATATATATATATATATTATATNTGTGTGTGTGTGTGTGTGTGTGTGTGTGTGTAATGTATATTATACATAATATATAAATGTGTGTGTGTACTTATATCCTAAATATATAAATTTGCATATATAAATTTCCCAATGTAATAATAATGAAATGCTTGGACTCAACATCACCGTAATTGTAGCTATACTGGGGCTTCAGCATCAACGGTTCTACGGGGGAATGTTCGAGAATTCTGGCGCCATCTAGGGATATTATGTCTTAAATGTAATTTATGTCCAAACAATTGACTCGCAAATTGCAGTTTTAGAAAATTAATTGTTAGTGTATATTACTGAAGCCCATGCACGATGTACGTAACAGCGTGTGGACTATTTGCAAATAGTCCGTCCAGTCACTGCGCATAGGGGCAAAAACCCTATACAGTGATTTTAATGATTATCCTTCATCGTTTTCGGAATGCTAAGTTTTGCTAAATGTGTAGATAACATTACACGGCATGGTGTACGTTTCCGCAATAAAACAATACATAAGGTGAAATGTGGTAAACATAATCTCTGCTTTTGGGGTAGAACTGAATCGATCAAGCTGCCAATCCACTAGAGAACAGACTGCAATTGAAATCGAAGTCCGAGAGAAAAATTAATTATAGGATATCAGTGTAACGAAAATACGACGCAGCAATGTGCAGGTGGATCATTCTTCCATCTCACGCTGACGTGCGATGTACTGATCAAAGCATGGTGGCAGTTATAAACTTCATTAGCACTTGCTCACGGCAGGGACTCGGTCGTCTCAGGGGAAGTGACTCATACCGTTCACACAAGCTGGCGTCTCTGCTGAGATCGGCCGCCGTTTACCCTCCGCTCCAGCTTGTACTACGCGCTAAGTATCTCCTAGCAACGGCGCCTTGAATTTTCATTAATGATGGCTGCGCGGCAATGCTATCGAGTTTCCTCCGTAGTTTTGATGTATGTGAGAGGACGTGATTAGGCTGTTAATGCAGTTAGACACCAGTGGCTGAAGGAGGGGGAAAAAAAGTGTTTTGAGGGCTGCTTGAGTAAGCATTTCCATATGACAGAGGTAATATATATCTCTGCAATATCCCTTCATAACTCCCCAGGAGTCAAACATAGACAAAAAATATCACTGTTGCTCAGAGCCAAAGGCTGAGTATTCATCATTCAGCTTTCAAGTTCAGAATCATGTTACTTTTCTGTGTTCACAGACGGCGGGAAGGAGAAGGATTTGTTCCACTTTAACATGACCTTCGTCCAAGACTCAGAGGTGATACTCTCTGCTGCTTTCCACTTCTTCTTCGACTATCGTCCCTGGCAGAGGTCCTGGCTCTGTAAGCGCTCCCAGAGCCCGGCCTGCCATGTCCCAGTCCTCCAGCAGATGGCGCCAGTCCGAGTCCTTTTCTGGAGCCAATCCCGAGATGGTGCTGACGGCATGCTTCTGGGAAATGTCACCTTCATGCCGCCCAGGAGGGGAGCGTGGCTTACAAGGGACATATCGGACATTGTCAAGCAGGCCCAGGCCACAGAGGAGCCATTAATCATGGTGGAGTTTGATTTCAGTAGGAAGTATCTGAGGCGTACTGAGCGGCTGTCCTCATTGGCCCTTCCCTACTTGTTGGTCTTTGCTGAAGACCTATCCATTTCAGAGCCCAACAGCGTGGCCTCCAGCTTGCAGCGCTATGGCCCGTTCCCAGGTGCTGAGGAGCCGGCTCGTTCCCCCAATGCCTACCCCAAATCACGAGTCAGGAGGGATGCACGGTCCTCAGACCCCATCCGCAACAACGAGCTCCCCGAAGTGGAGCACGGCACCTGGAAGAATCACAAGATGTGGGAGAGCTCCTACCTGGCTCCAAAGCCCAAGGTCCCACAGAAGGAGCACAGGAGAAGGGATCCTGAAGGTGGCCTGGACCCGGGGGCACCCCAGGTGCTCAGCTTTGACGAGGAAACCATGCGGAAGGCCCGGCGGCGGCAGTGGAGCGAGCCGCGGGTCTGCGCCAGGCGCTACCTGAGGGTTGACTTCACTGACATTGGCTGGAGTGAATGGATTCTTGCCCCCAAGGCCTTCGACGCCTACTACTGCGCTGGGACCTGCGGGTTCCCCATGCCCAAGGTCTGAGCTGCCGAGCTTACCGCCGGACTTACTGTCGGGCTTACTGCTGGGCTTACCACCGGGCTTACCACTGAACTTAATGCTGAGCTTACCGCCAGGGTTACTACCGAGCTTACTGCTGGGCTTACCACCGAGCTTACCGCCGGACTTACTGTCGGGCTTACTGCTGGGCTTACCACCGGGCTTACCACTGAACTTAATGCTGAGTTTACCACCAGGGTTACTACCGAGCTTACTGCTGGGCTTACCGCTGAATTTACTGCTGGGCTTACCGCCGAGCTTACCNTTACCACCAGGGTTACTACCGAGCTTACTGCTGGGCTTACCGCTGAATTTACTGCTGGGCTTACCGCCGAGCTTACCGCTGAACTTAATGCTGAGCTTACCACCAGGGTTACTACTGAGTTTACTGCTGGGCTTACCGCCGAGCTTACCGCTGAACTTAATGCTGAGCTTACCACCAGGGTTACTACTGAGTTTACTGCTGGGCTTACCACTGGGCTTACTGCTGGGTTTACCGCTGGGCTTACTGCCGGGCTTACCACTGCATGCCCATGACCTTGTTCCAATATCCCTGCTGCAAAAATCACCACCTTAAGCTGGTTGACCAACTTATGAAAGTTGACCAGCTGAAGGTATGCTTTCACATGATGGTTTGATGTCCTAGCCAGTCATACCAGCTTGTAATGGTCATTCTAGCTGGTTTAGCTGGCCACACTAGAATGACCAACTGGTGGGCCATCCAGCTAAACCATCATAGAGCAACAAAACCTGAAACACGACCGTCTTAGACCATTTTAGACCAGCTAAAACCAGCTATAACCAGTTACCAGCATAAAGTGGTTTTTAGCTGTTTCTTCAACAAGGGTGATTGAGTGTAAAACTCAGTTTTCCACTATTTCAGACGAGCATCATTTAAAGCTGGCATTTACAGCAATTCACTGCTGGTCGCAGTTCTTATTTAACACTTACTTAACACCCCATTGAATGTTCTTAACACCCTATTTAATGCAGCTGACTATAATTTCGATCTCGAGCATGGTCCTTGTACTGTGCAAAAACAGTTCCAATACAAGCAAGGGCATTATAATAATAAGCAATGTGATGAGTTTGCCCTGTGACAATCTATACAGAATTATATAAGCTAAACAACAAACCAATAGCGATACCTGCTGGCAACCCCTCCCCCAAAACCAAAGCTAAATTATAACTGGCCAAATTATCCTTGCTTCCATACTCATCGGCTCCCCCTAGTGTCTGGGCCCTTGAAGGCCTGCCCTTTTCTCCCCCTTTAGGGGCGGCCCTCAGACAGTCAGACTCAGTTTTCTATAAGGGGACATATCTAACTGAATTCACTGTTATAAACCTTCTCTGGAGGCATGCGGTGGGTTGATGTGAAGGTAGACGACTGACAAAGCCTCTCACCCCTCTTGCACCCAGGTTGTTCGTCCTTCCAACCACGCCACCATCCAGAGCATCGTGAGGGCAGTGGGGATCACCCCGGGGGTGCCTGAGCCCTGCTGTGTCCCTGAGCAGATGGGCGCCCTGAGTGTCCTGTTCCTGGACGAGAGCAGGAACATGATCCTGAAGGTTTACCCCAGCATGTCTGTGGAGACCTGCAGCTGCCGATAGGCGGGGGCTCTGGGACAGGGCAGCCAGGATGACAGGCTCATGGACCACTGGCCACAGCTGGGGGGGGGGGAGGTGGGTATGAGAGAGACAGAGTGTGTTGTCACTGGCAGCACCAGGGGTGGCTCCCTGAACATTAGCCAGTGCATCCTGGGTCGTGACTATTCTCACATGCTCAGATCATCACCGTTACCTTCTCTAAAATCAAACTGTACAACTTTCCCTGCCACATGTGATTGCAGTGCTGCAGTGGCTCTTTGCTCCCACGTCAGCATAATGCACACACACTTCCCGTCTTGTGTTGTTTGTAGGATCTCACTTGATATTCCATTTGGTACACAGCCATTGACTTCCTACACACTGTTCCACACAGTCACTCACATTTTATCATTTCTTATATATAGTTACTCAGTGCATATTGTGCCCAGTCACACTATATCTGGTGCTGTACACAGTCACTCACTTCCTGTGCCGTGTTGTACACAGTCACTCACTTCCTCTCTTGTGTTATACAGTCACTCACTTCCTGTGCCGTGTTGTACACAGTCACTCACTTCCTCTCTTGTGTTATACAGTCACTCACTTCCTGTGCCGTGTTGTACACAGTCACTCACTTCCTGTCTTGTGTTATACAATCAATGGGTGAATCTCAATACCAAGAACGCAAACACCCTACTTGTGGTCTTGGCAAGACCAGTCTTATGAACTTTCCTTCCAAGAACGAACTTGGGGCGCAATAAATTAGGGGATTGGTTTCATTCTTCAAGGATGCAAATAATATGTCATTGGTATTTTGGGTGGGAAAAGAACAACATCCCGGGATTTTTACCATCCTATGTACTTACATTCTTAGTATCGGAACTGGTCTTCAGCAATGGAAGATGACGTAAAAGAGGCACACAAGAAAACAAGTATGGTCAAGTACGCAAACTAACTTCACTTCCTGTGCCATGTTCTATGCAGTCACTCACTTCCTGTGCCATGTTCTATACAGTCACTCACTTCCTGTGCCATGTTCTATACAGTCACTCACTTCCTGTGCCATGTTCTATACAGTCACTCACTTCCTGTTTCAGTGACGTCCTAGCAGCATATGGACATGTCAGTGGACAATATTTAACTGGCTCCACATCTACAAAAGCTCAATGTATAACCAGTGACACAGCATTTTGGTTATTTTTGTTTCTATCATCCATTGATGTACAGTACTCAATATTTTTCAAGATCGTTTTTATTCATCCCGAGCTGTCTCTCTCTATTCAAGTAACTGAAAAAAAAAAAAGAAATCCCAGTGTTGATGTAATTGCAGCCGCTATGCATAGATGACGTTAGCTATGAGTATTTAGGTAGCAAACTAAACGTAAGAATAAATATTAACAGGCTAACGATATTTAAACAGAAAGAGATCACATTATAATGGCATTATACAAACTTACTACCCAGCATAAAAGGAAAAAGTATATCTGTATGTTTTATCTTTCATCCATAGCTCAGAATTAGATGTAGAGCAGAGTGCCTTCAAATGTTACAGATGAAATAAAGCATGATACACCAAAAAGTGTTCGAAAACGCGAACAAGCCGTTCGGGTCCTTTCCGGACAGCACATTCTGGCCACCGTTAATAAGGGGCTTATCTGGTATTTGAGGCTTCCGCAGTCTGTTAACAGAATGCGGACAGGGGAGTGTTTTGAACCATCGGCATGAGGGGGTGACATGTGAGGTAAACTCATTGGACATAACGCGTGGCGGGTGGGATTGCCCTGCGCAGCAAATCGCTGCTAACAATTTAACCAACTGAGACGTAGATTACACCAATCAGTGATTGATGATGCATGATAATCCCGCCCACCGTGTGTTTTCAAGCCTCATTTCTCCTACCATTACGTAATTCCAGATGTCTTGGTGAATCACTACGTAAGGAAACAACAGGCAGAAAAACGCACACTTAACACACAATATTGCTACAGTGTTTCAATATGAATATTAATAATACTGTGGAGATACTGCAGCCTGAAAGCAATGTTCTGAAAAGGTTTTGTGTCATTCAAGGCTTTTCTTTTGCTTCCTGAAGGGCACAGTGGTAGTCTTTATCATTTGTAGGTGGTTCTTGTTATTTAGTGCGTTTTATAAGGGTTAGACTGCACAGCATTGTACAACACGTCTATTTATTACTGGCTGGGTTTGTGTTTTTGTTTACAAAAGTGTCTTGTTCCACTTATAAAATCACCCGACATAGAACTATAATTCAGAAGATTCCCCCGGGCTGTGAATTGTGTGTTTTGTTATCTCCATAAAATGTTTATTATTTCTGTATATTTTATGTGTTTGTTTAAATATCTTCGTTCCTGAAAAATTAGTAGCTGTTTTCTGCATTTATGTTCTTGTAAATTATACAGCAGTAGCCTTCGTAAGTGTTAGAACAAAATAAACAAAGATAATTGGTAAATAATCCCCAATGGCCCAAAATTGTTTTTCATTGTTATGAATTCAAGAGCTCTGCTTTTCTTTGTTCGTTTTTTTTTTCTTAACAATGCATTGTGGAAACGCCTGTTTGTGGTCATTACTGGTTATCCTACTTGCGTTGGTTCGCCAACAGTTTATTAAAGTCGTTATGCTGTTCCTTTCGAGGAAAATAATGCATGGTTCATGCAAAAAGATGCCCAGAAGTAATTTCTCTTTTAAACAGAAAAGCTCTGCTGTAATGACTGTCGACGCGTGTTTTTTTCGCCTGGCGCGTCTTTGGAAATTAACGATATGAAGCACTGGCTTCTGGCTTTCGTGCGAATTTGAAACACATGCTGAGATAATGGGCGGCTGCATCCATCTCGCGCGCTGTCGTCTGCGGCATCCTCTCCGTGAACCGGGGGCTTGAAGGATCTTTGGATGACCTCTGACTGTGGCGGCGTTAGCTGTCCAAAAGGCCATTATAAACAGTGAAATTCCTAGATGGAAGGGTTTTTTTTTAGCGCTGATGGAATTTGTGGTTGTGTACTGACAAGAAATGACACTTATTTTGTTAATATATGGTCTTTGGGTCACTGATGATATTCCATAATAATAGGGTTTTATGGATTTTTTTTTTTAGCAATAACCCATTTCTGCACCCCCAGTACGCATTGGGGGTGCAGAAAAATTATCAAAATCATCATAAAATGAATGAAGATGCTTGCCAAGCCATTGAATAAGAATTGATTTTCTGAGAGAGGAGCTACACACACTTTTTAAGTGCTAAATGGTCCAAAAACTGATAGTACAATCCATTCATAATTTCGAGCACTGGTACTGAATTCCAAACTTCATTGACACTGACCCCCTGGAAGCAGGAGAGCAGAACAGAATGACCTCTCATGGCAGAATTTCCTTATCCCGCCTCATTATCCTCATCTGTGAGCCTAATGTTTACATGATCCTCATTAGTTGGAGGTCTTCGGTGATAACAGCGACTAAAACCGGACACGAGCGGCCCCGATAAGGCCATGTGCGTTGCTGCTTGTGCTGGATGCGAGTGAGATGTTTACTGTTGACCATGGGAGCCTGGGAGGTCCTATCGCCTAGGAAGCTCCCATTTCTCACAGATCGCGGAACGGGAACGCAGTGGTAATAATCATGGGACGGCGAATTCTGAAGATGCAGGTCCGGATGAGCCCGTTCTTATCGGTGTGCCTCAGCTTGATGATGTCCATCGGGTCTTGCCGGTGCAAGCCGGCGTTGAGCGTCCCGCAGGTCGACGGAGCTGCGGGGTTTCTCCGGCCGGCGCTGGGGGACCTGGCCGAGGAGGAGGAGGAGCAGGCTGCCCGAGCGAGGCTGGAGAGTTTCCTGGGCAACATGAAGCAGAAGATCCTCCGCAAGCTGAACCTGACCTCCGTGCCGCAGGAGCAGGGCAGGGTCGACCCGCCGCCATTTATGATGGAGCTCTACAACAGACACGCTGCTGACGGGTCCTCCGCCCCGCTCTCGGACGTGATCCGCAGCTTCGGAGTGCTAGGTGCGTACTGGGGGTGCAGTGGGGGGGGGGGGCATGGCTATAGTTTGAACTGCTGGGGAAGGGATCTTGATGTTCAGTTTGAGACACTCTGGGGGAAAAAAAGACTCAGTACATGTTTAAAGTGTCATAAACTTACACTGACTTTGGATTTCAGGCAGAGGTGGCAAGTTCAGGTTCAGAAGGGAAAAATCCAGACAAGGTCCAGAAGATTTTGTCTCAGCCAACCAGTTGAGTACTGTGTGAATGTGACTCTTTATACTCAACTGGTTGGTTGAAACTAAGTCATGGTCTGGATTTTTACTTGCTGAACCTGAAATGCAAACTGGCTGGATTTCACGTACCTGGTGTGTTAAACTCTGGAAGTAATCGTACCCTGATGCAAACCCACCAGGTGCCGTGTGGCTGGTCCTCTGGAAATGCCAATATGTGAAAGTACTTGTTTGATTGCCTGAGCACTGCGCTTTAGACTGGTACGCTGGTTCGGTTTATGGACACATTCAGCTGGTTTGCTTCATAAATGCCAGGCATGTGTTTGATTTTACATCTGCAGATGGTGGTGTGCATTTTGAGGATAACGGTTCTAATTGTAAAAATAAAATCATAACCACATTGTGTGTTTCTCGAAAGCACTGAGCTCTACACTCTAGAAAAAAGAGTACCAGTTTGTACATTTGCTTGTCACTGGGGCTGTACCCTCAAGGGTCTGTCAATTGTACCCTTAGCTGTAGGTAATTGTACCTTTTAAGGTACAGAAACGGACTCTGAGGAACATTTTTGTACCATTGGGGAACATTAGTGTTGTTTGTACCTTGGGGAGTCCATTTCTGTACCTCAAAAGGTACAGAATTGTAAGGTACAGCCCCAGTGACAAGCAAGGGTACAAACTGGTACCCTTTATTCTGAGAATGCACCTATCTTAAGCTTGCCTGTTGTCATTGACTCTATCGGTAACCTGTTACCGACACGTCTCCATCTGACACAGATGTCATCCGGTCTGTAAAACGTGGCAACACCTCAGAGCACCGGCTGCTCTTCAATGTCTCCATCCCCTGCCATGAGGAGGTCACCGCCGCAGAGCTGCGGCTCTTCACGCTGCCCAACGGTGCCCCGCCAGAGTGCACGGGTTGCCAGGCGACCATCAGCGTGTATAACATGGAGCGCGGCTCGAAAGGACACGGGCTCCACTTTCTCACCAGCAGGAGAGTGAAAGGCAGCCACGGCGCCTGGGAGGTGTTTGACGTGACTGGACCGAAGTTGGGCTGGATCACACCCGGCCAGAGCACCAAAGAGTTCAAGGTCCACATCCAGCAGGGAGAATGCGCTGTCCTTGACGTCAGCCTCAGCCTGAAGGACAACAGCTCCGCCATCCTGATCGTCTTCTCCAATGATCCCAGGAGCAGAAGGAAAGATGGCTGGAACGACCTGAAGCCTACAGTCGTGCATGTAGAGGATAGGCATCCACCCAAGACCAAGGTGCTAATCGACAACAACGAGATCCCTATTGACATCCATCCAAGGAGGAGGAAGCGAGCTGAGCACGACTATTGCCGGAGAACCTCCCTCAAGGTGAACTTCAAAGAGATCGGCTGGGATTCCTGGATCATCGCCCCACCGGAATACGATGCCTTTGAGTGTCGGGGCATGTGCTACTTCCCGCTGACGGACGATGTCACCCCGTCCAAGCATGCTGTGATTCAGACACTCGTCAACCTGGGAAACCCCAAAAAGGCCAACATGGCGTGTTGCGTCCCAACCAAACTGGACCCCATCACAGTCTTGTACAAGGAGAACGGCATACTTACCATGAAACACTTCTACGAGGAGATGAAAGTCGCTGAGTGTGGATGCAGATAGTAGAAGAAAAACATGGATACTCGGGGGTGGGGGGGGGGGGGTCTTCATGCTGCTTCCACTCCACCCCCAAGAGGCTGCCTCACTACAGTCTAATCCATAATAAACACTGGGAGTGACACTATCACCCCCGTCATGATAATGATGTCATGACCTTTGCTGCCAATGGGATTTCAAAACCTACAGTACTGGGGGATTAGCAGTCACTGATGGGGTAAACCAGCCAGCAACATGCAGTGTAAGAAAGTGCCGCAAAGACCCAGTTTCTCCCAACATTCCTTTGTGTTTCTCTACCCGATCCTCAGGGAACCCCTGACAGTCCACATTTTTGCTCCCTCCCAGCTTCCAACCAATCAGGAACACCAAGTATCTGGTACAGGTGTGTTGGGAGAGGGGAAGGAGCGAAAATGTGGACTGTCTGCGGTTCTCAACGGTTGGGTTGAGAAACAAGGCTTTAACCATATCCCGGTTATTGAGGAGCAGATGGGTCCTTTTCCCAAAGATAAGTAATGATAAAATAAATAAAAACAATCATGACTGAGTGATGGTAGAAATCCCCTTAATTCCACCTCATAATAACACAAACCACAACATGTATTCAATATTCAGTCTTTTGTTTGATTATCACATTTAAATGCATTATATGTTTTTTCTAACACTGCATAACTCTAATATACATTTATAGCCCAACACACTGAAATATCATCAAATTTCTCAAAAAAAAAAAAAATCATTTGTATAACCTTTTCTTACAGTAAGTGCTCATCATTTTCTCAATACTCTTGTCAGCCACAGCGGCGAGATTGATTAATGTGTGACAATGGAAAGGAAGCTGTAAGTGGAGACGCATCAGCAAGCTGTAGAATACAAGGTGCACAAACCTCTGGTTAAAATCAGCTAAGCAAACCAAAGCTGAGTCTTAGCAAACAACTGTGACAAGTTAATGTTTTCATATTTTTCAAATTGAATAAATTGTGTACATAATATTTATTTAATCGATATGGAATATCGGATGGAATATAATGGATTGATTATCGATATTTGTTTAAGATGTCCTGTATTGATACATTTTATAGGTTGAAATTTAAAAAGTAACAATCAGTAAATGATCATTAAATACCTTAAAGCCTCAACATCAGTATTTGTGCTTTGTCTTTGTGATATTTATATGTACGACGAACACGATTAATTGAATGACATTAATAAATAACCACTTGATTACGGGCAATTACTGGCTTGAGTTCTGCTCAGGCAGTTAGGGAATCATCTGCATTTCCCATCATAAATCCCACTGATCTAGATCTGAATTTTTTTCCGGTTTCTGATGAGTTGAGCTACTTTGTCAAGTTAGGCTACCGTAGTGGTAATCGATAGCCCTAACCCTCACCCTAACCCTAACCCTAACCCCCCCCAAAAAAACCTAAAACCTAACCCTAACCCCTAAAACCTAACCCTAACCCCTAAACCCTAACCCTAATCCCAAGATGGTGGAACTGCACAGGTGAAGAAAGGTTCGATAGCATGTCTCGATAGGTAGCTCAGCTCGTCAGAACGCCAGGTTCCCTCTGCCAGCGGCACTTTGGAAGTGCTGCCAGCCAACCAGCCAGGTGTCGCCGTCCAAGATTCTTCTGTCGCTGGATTTATTTCCCACACCGGATATCAAGTCACGTAATGTCTCTTTACTTAGTGCTAACAAGGGCCCCCAACCCAGAACGACACCCCGGCAACAGAACAGCAGAGTGACGAGCAGATTGGATCCGAACGGCGTGACATAATCACGCAAAGCACTGTTAACCCCCCGACAATCTGGGACTCGAATCAACAGCTTTTAGCTTCATGAGACCATGTCTTTTATTACCGCTATACATTCATTTTCCTCTTTTCATCCGCGACTAAAGCAGTAATATGTAAACTTTGTAATATAAAGCCATATATGGCCGTTATTCTCTAAACCACCATTTATAATAGCATTGTAGGATGTCTGGATCACCGCCCCTTTACTGGATGGGTACACAGGATGATCAATGTGTGTTCCGTTCTCTGCAAATGCCGCCATTTTGGGATGTATGCACTTTGTGTTATCTATAAGTACAAAATATTAAGCATGAATGCGAATAACATTCACATACGTGACTTCAGATTTCCCCAACAAATGCCAGCAGTTGCTTTAACACATGGTTGTTAAATCCTGCGGAAAGACCGCCCTCTTCAGGTGATCGGGGGTACGGATCTGCCCTGTTTTTGTTATGACCGAAGCTGTTTTAGCAACATACAAAGAAGCACTATACAAATCAGGGCGCTTTAATCGCAGACCCACAGGGTATTAACTGCAAATTAGCTTACGTTACTCGTATTAACCAATTGCAATTTACCTCACTTCCTCTTTTACACAATGGAGAGAAAACTTGCACTGAATATTTTCCCAGAAAGGGAAACAGTAAACAGGAAGTAGAATTTAAATGAAAAAACATTTATAAGACTGAAGAAATAGCACCTCACTCCAAGAAATAGGATGCATCTGAAACTTGTACTTATTTGCTATGTACTGTAGCAGGCGAATATAGTATGCGAGGAGAGCAGTATGTCCGAATCCTCAGTATGGATGAGACAGTAAGCGACTGGTACCCAGATGACATAGTACATACTTAGAAATTGCAAAGCGTGCATCCGATGAACGCTATGCTGTCCCACAAGGCCACTGGAACTGCAGCCACAGACGAAGAACTCTTCCTTGATCATTTTGTCAGGATGGTGGAAGAAGTGTCATCAAGTTTAAGTTGAAAACACTACCTAGTTACACATGTTGACTCAAGTATGTTTCTTTTTGTTGATAGTTTTTTTTCCAAGCTACATTATTGGACAGGCAGTATGCAAGATAGCGAACATGAGTATGTCGGAGTCCATGCAAACTGTTCTCATGCATACAAAAAGTATGTACTACATTAATGGTCAATTAGTAGGCTTCAGTATGTAAAGTATGCAATTTTGGATGCATCCATAGGCTAGTATAGGAAATAGTGTGACATTTGTGTCTGTAACCAGTGTCTGTAATTGGGGGGTGAGGGGGGGTGTCTTAAGGGCATGGTTCAGGAGGGGGCAGGTGGGGAGCAGAGAGGAATGGCCTACTTCTGGTAAACCAGCTTAGAGCACCAGCTCCTGGACTCCGCCTGGTGATCCCGTTTCAGCCGGCAGTGCTAATGGCCGCCCGACTGACGCAGTGAGCCATGTATGGCCACTCAGAGAATGGTTCCCGATTGGCTGGAAGCTGTGGGCAGACAGCCTTATGTAAGCCCGATGGCATTAAAAGCTAAGCTTGGCATTAACAGCACAGATTAATGTTATACTGCAACGATTAGCATACAGGAGACATGCTTACGCAATGCAGACGTATATCACAGTGTCGTCACCTTGAAAGCCTTCACTCATTCCTAACTCATTTCAGTTTGTTGGATTGGCTTTTATTTTTATTCTGGGCTGGATCTTTCGTTGTATTGCATTGCACCACAAGCCATTTTAGAAGGATTGAACTGGTAGGCTAATTTCAGCTTTAAGTCTTACCTAGTAATTTGTAATTTCGTCTTTGATTGTTCAGGGATAAAGTCCACGAAACTTTTCATCGGAAGCAAAGATGCAGATATAGTTTTTTGATTCAGATTTGTACCTTAAGTGAATTTGTTGAGAGGTCTTAACACCAGGGCCCAAACTGCGTAATCATGCCTCAGACTGGCTCAGACGTCAGACTGCCAGCTTGCCAGCCACTCTGATTTTTTTCTTGTGCAATATTAAGGTTAATGCCGATGAATGAATTTATATTTGCAACATTTAAACATTATCTTCACAACGAATAAATTCAATGAATTTTTTTCAATGAAGATAAGAAATCCATAGCACCTACATGACATTACCAACAGGAGGCGTCATATTTCAAGCAGCAGGATGTGTTTCAATGATCTCCCATTTTGTCAGTGATGCACCAAAGATAGATGCGCTTTAAGGGTTCTTGGAGCAAAAGCTTCTTATGTTGTTATTATGTAAAACCTTGCTTGTCGCCAACAGCAGGGGCTACTCGTGAAAAACAAACTGAGGTGAGAGGAAAACAGGAGTAAATCGAAGGGATAATTGTTTAAGGAAGAGAGAGAGGAAGACAACCCACGAAAATGGCAAAGGCTGGGTTCCTGCTGGCATCGTTGGTCACCTGCTGCCGTCTTTTGGGCACTGCCCCCTCCATCCAGCCCACCCCGCTATTGGATATGGCTCAGATTCTTCTGGATAACTACTGCTTCCCTGAAAACTTGGTTGGAATGCAAGAAGCCACAGAGCAGGCTATCAGCAGCGGAGAAATCCTCCACATTTCTGACCGGAGGACTTTGGCGACCGTCCTGAGTGCCGGCGTGCAGGGTGCGCTCAGTGACCCCCGGCTGGTCGTCTCCTACGAGCCGGGTCACGTTCCCATGACTCCGACCAGGAGCAGCTAATGAGGGTGCTCCAGAGTCTGATCAAGGCAGAAGTCATAGATCACAGCGTGGGCTATCTGAGGGTCGACTACATCATTGGGGAGGAAATGGCGGAGGGAGCCAGACAATTTTTCTTAGACAGTGTCTTGAGCAAGGTGGCCCACACCTCCTGTTTGATTTTTGACCTTCGTTATTCGACCTCTGGGGACATGTCTGGAATCCCTTTCATTATGTCCTATTTCTCTGACCCAGGAATGCTACTCCACATTGACTCTGTGTATGACAGACCCTCTAACGCCACGAGCGAACCGTGGACTAAGCCCTGGCTTCCAGGACTGAGGTATGGAAAAAGAAAGGACCTGGTTGTTTTAACAAGTGGACGCACCATAGGTGCCGCTGAGGGAGTAGCCCTGAAGCACCTAAAGAGGGCTGTCATTGTAGGGGAGCGATCTGCCAGAGGGTCGGTGAAAATCAAGAAGCTACGTCTGGGCAAGTCAGATTTCTTCATCACAGTGCCTGTTGCCAGAGCTATAAGCCCCATTACGGGGCAGAGCTGGGAAGTCAGTAGCCTGTCACCCTGCCTAAGTGTTGATGCTGAAGATGCTCTTGTGGAAGCCAAGACCCTTCTGGCAGTCAGAAGTGCTATTCCAAAAACAGAAGGTCCAGAGGGTCTCTGATATTATACAGAACTCCTATTCATTCACAGAAAAAGTCCCAGCTTTGATCTACCATCTGTCATCTATGGATTTCTTCCCCGTCTTTTCCGAGGAAGACCTTGCCGCTAAGCTAAGCTATGAGCTCCAGTCAGTTGCCGAAGACCCTCGCTTGAATGTCAAAACGATGCAGGAGTCTCCGGTAATAACTCAAGCGACCTGAGAGCTGGGCCAGGTGCCAGAAGACCCATCTGCTCTCGAGGCTTTGGTGGAGACTCTTTTCAATGTGAGTGTACTGCCAGGAAACACCGGGTACCTGCAGTTTGATGTGTTTGGTGAAGGCAGCCTGCTCATAAAATTAGGTGAGCAGATTGCAAAAAAGGTGTGGGACCTTTTGAAAGACACAGACAACCTCATCGTCGACCTTCGTTTTAACACCGGGGGTTCAACATCAGCTCTGCCCATCCTGCTCTCGTACCTCCACGACACATCGCCGCTGGTGCACATCTTCACCATCTACAGTAGAATCGGCAACACCACCACTGAGTTCCACACCTACCCGGCCTTCTAGGCACACTGTACGGATCGAAATGAGGGGTTTATGTTCTGACCAGCTACCACACCGCTGAGGCTGGTGAGGAGTGTGCAGTCCCCACACAGGGCCACCATCATTGGCGAGATCACCTCTGGCACTCTGATGCACTCCAAGTTTTTCCCAGTGGAGGACACCAACATTGTCATCACAGTACCAGTCATAAACTTCATAGACTGTACTGGAGAAACCTGGCTCGGGGGTGGAGTGGTACCAGATGCCATTGTGCTAGCTGAGGAAGCGATAGAGCAGGCTCACAAGATCATTGCATTCCACCAGGAGGTCCAAGCTTTGATATTGGTGGCAGGGGATCTCCTGGAAGATCACTACGCCATTGCAGAGATTGCCATAAAGTTCAAGAAAGTCCTTAGGTCCAAATGGACAGAGGGATCATATCGATCAGTGGTTGACTATGAATCTCTGGCCTCTCAGCTAACAGCAGATCTTCAAGAGACCTCAGGAGATCACCGACTACACATATTCTACTGTGACGGTGAACCTGAGACAATTCAAGACGTGCCATGATTCCCCACAGCTGAGGAGGCGCAGTATCTCATCCAAGCCCTGTTTAAAGTAGATTTCCTGCCTGGAAATGTAGGTCACTTGAGGGTCGACATGATGTTAGACATTGAGATAGTGAAGATCATCGCCACCAAGCTCTTAAATCTAGTATGGAACCAACTAGTCAACACGGACGCCTTGATCATCGACCTGAGGTTCAACACTGGTGGATTTTCCACAGCCATTCCATTGCTGTGCACATACTTCTTTGACGTAGAGCCACTTCGCCACCTATACACCATTTTCGAACGCTCCACCACAACAATGACAGAGGTCACGACCTTGCCTGAAGTTTTGGGCCAGAGGTATGGATCGAAGAAAGATGTTTACATCCTCACCAGTCACGTTACAGGGCCAGCAGCAGAAGCGTTCACAAGGACAATGAAGGAGCTGAAGAGGGCCACGGTCATCGGCGAGCCAACCACTGGGGGCTCTCTGTGCAGCGGCACCTACCAGATTGGGGGCAACATCCTGTATGCATCCATACCCAACCAGGTCATCCTGAGTGCAGTCACCGGCAAGGTCTGGAGTATCTCTGGTGTCGAGCCTCACATTTTAACTCAAGCAAAAGATGCACCAGACTGTCGCCCAAAAATCCATTGAAAGAACCATTCTCAAACAAGACCCTGGAAAATAGATAGATACCTATGAATCATGATGGGTCATGATGGGATGATACAGTAAAGCATATATGTGTGTGATTGTTGGTGTTTTGGGATTTTGCAAAATCATCTACAGTCAGTGTCTTTGACCTTCAAGCCAAACATTATGAAGACATGAGATAAAGACAGAGGTGGAGCTTCTTACACATGGAACACAACACCAGCAAACTGACAGCTTTCAATATCAACTTCTTCCTCACAGATAATTTAATGGCTGTATAAATCCTTCTGATTTTTATTAAATTTACGGATTAATGAAAATGTGTCCTGGTTTGAGCTTTTGAATCCTCTTTTTTTTCATGGTGATTTTTGTACACTATAATAAAAAATATGAAAACAGATAATCTTGCTGTTGTTAATGTTTCCTGCTGGGAGCAATAACTTAAGCTCCTGACACAGTTACTTCCAGTCAGGACATATACTAAGATCGAAAGCTGTTGTGTTTCACCTTAGCACATGCTGAATTAGTCACCTGAGATATAAAGTTTTACTCCTTATTTTATATCATACAAATACGATTCCAAAGCACCTGACTCTTCTCGCTGCTTCTACGTTGAACACAGTCCACCACTTATTCACGAAGTATGTGTTCCTCATACAATCTTTCACCGCTCCGATAATTAAAGCTGTACTAAAAGCTTTCTGTTTGCGCAGTTGTTAAATATAAATTAATCTCAGGGAGATATTAAGAAAGGATTTTGTCGTCTATGAACTGGAGTGAAGCAGAAGATCTAGCAGGTTACAGGATGCCCACTAAGGAGATCAGCTGTCATGTCGGGAGGCACCGGGGGGTGTAAAGAAACCCCAAAGGCAGCTTTGATGATGGTCCTATCCTTACACAGACCTACAGGAAGTACAAACAGGAACTGGGATACAAGGACGGGGCTGGGGAGCACTATGTATACACTGAGGACAGACAGGTGTAAGACGTCACGATGGACTAGATACAATTATACACAGGTGAGGGTCGTAATTACCACTAATGAGGGCTACATGAGGGACAGGTGTGAATAACTGGTGGTATGGGATGGACAGCAGGGGAGACCTCTGCTGGCCAAATGGGTGCACGACAGGACCGAAGGAGACTGGATGTGTCACCAACAAATCTGCTCACAGACTTCAGACTATCCTTCAGTGACTTAAATATTCCCAAAAATGTGTCCCATGTCATCATTAATATCTTTATAACAAGCCCATAATAACACTCCAAAAACAGAATTCATGAAAGTATCAAGAGGGTCATTCCTGTTTATCTGTCATGTCACCTTGATAATGCAGTAGCACCTTATCTTCATGAAGACTTCCAAAACTTTCCGATAAACACAGAATCTTGATAACAATCTGGTCCATCATCACTAACACTCATTATATCACATTTCTGTCATATACGTTTTGAGGTGACACAGTGTGGCTGCATTACCTGTCTTACTGTTGCAGTTGCGATAATACGATTAGAACAGGGGTGGCCAATCTTATCCGCAAAGGGCCGGTCTGTATGCGGGTTTTCGCTGCAACTCCCTAATTAGATTACTAATTAGAGGATTGATTGGCTGAAGAGTCCTCACACCCGAGTTTGAACAGCTGACCTACAGGTTATCCCAAAAACCTGCATACACACCGGCCCTTTGCGGATAAGATTGGCTACCCCTGGATTAGAGGTTTGTAATGAGGAAAAGCTTCTTATGAGTGTGGTAACAGGCCCATGACAGGGGAACGGTCTCAGTGAGGAGCCTTTCTGCAGAACGGAGCTGAGTCAGACAGGAGCTACAAGTCATTTCAGGGAAGGCGAAAATGATTCTCACCCTGGCCTTGCTGGTGATCGTTGGCAGTGTTTGTCTGGTTCACTCCTCCTACCCTCCTACTCTGGTTATGGATATGGCTAAAATACTTGCACAGAATTACTGCTACCCCGAGCGTTTGGAGGGCATCATAGAGGCCATAGAGGCGGCCAGAAGCAACACAGACATCCTCAACATCCCGGATCCAAACGCCGTGGCGATGGCGCTCAGTGCCGGCATGGCGTCCACCATTGGGGATTCCCGGCTGCTCATCACCTACGAGCCCGATTTTATTCCCAAGGCGACCCCCGTGCTGTCATCTGTGCCCCCGGAATATCTGATCAGCATCATCAAGAAATCGGTCCAGGTTGAGGTCCTGGAGAACAACATCGGCTACTTCAGGATCGACCACATAATCGGGGAAGATATAGCAGAGAAAATCGGCCCCCTGCTCGTGGAGAACATCTGGAACAAAGTGCTCCTAACCTCCGCGATGATTTTAGACCTTCGTCACACAGCTTCTGGGGAGCTGTCGGGGGTCCCTTATATCGTGTCCTACTTCTCAAACGCCGAGCCCCCGACTTGCATCAGCACCGTGTACGATCGGCCCTCAAACACCACCGTGGAGTTTAGGTCCTTGCCAGAGCTTCTGGGGAAGAGGTACGGAGTGAGCAAAGACTTGATCATCCTGACGAGCAAGAACACCAGAGGTGTCGCTGAGGATGTGGCCTACGCAATGAAAAACATGAAAAGGGCCACCATCGTTGGGGAGAGAACTGCAGGGGGATCCTTAAAGATTGAGAAGCTGAGGGTGGGGGAGACTGGCTTTTACTTCACAATGCCCACTGCTAGTGTTAGAAGCCCCATCACAGGAGAGAGCTGGGAAGTAAAGGGTGTGACCCCCTGCATTGAGGTCGATGCAGGAGACGCACTGGAAACCGCAGTGAAAATCATTAACCTGAGGTCTACAATCCCCGTCATCGTCCAGGAGGCTAGTGTCCTTGTGGCTGAAAAGTACGCATTCACTCAGATCGCCGAGGATGTGTCACAGAAACTGCTGGATCTCCTGGAGAATGGCACCTACAGCATGATCAATTCTGAGACCGAGCTGGAAGCCCGGCTGTCCGCTGATCTGAAGGAACTTTCTGGAGACAAATGCCTGACGACAACACACATCACCACTCAGGACCCCATGCCGGTAAAATTTCTTTCCTTCTCTGCACAACTGCATTCGCATTTGACTTTAAAATTTTATTCAGTCATACTTTTCATATTTCTGGTAATACGTGTTAAATCAAAATCCTTTGACGTTTTTCTCCCATGAAAACAACTGCCTGATTCTTTTACCCCCCAGAAACTCGCCCCGGAGGCGCTGGCTGAGATGGTCAGGGCTTCCTTCCAAACAGACATCCTGGAAAACAACGTTGGGCTCCTTCGCTTCGACATGTTCGGGGATTTCGAGCAAGTCGCCCCCATCGCCAAGATCATTGTGGAGAACGTCTGGAACAAAGTGGTGAACACCACAGCACTGGTCATTGACCTAAGGTGAGGCCTGAGCTTCATTAACTCAACATCTAAATTTCTGCTCTGTATGTGAATATTCCAGCTTAATCTTCAGAGTTTGCAGGAGTATATGCAATCGGCTGAATTATACACTTATCACTTAAGTGTCTCTGGCTAATTTGCTCCCATGAAACCAGACATTGCTGTATATACATTTCAAGCGAAATGATATATCTCAAACGACTAAGTACGTCATATTTTAGGGGTGTCCATTAATCGGTTAAGTGAAACATTGCTGACATCATAATATTTACTAAAGCAGCACCTCGTGAAAATTCATTACTTTTGACTTATTTTTTGTCTCAGTCGATCTCGCATCGATCTCGTTTTAAAAACCACAGAACAGAAACATCTAAACTAGTCTAGATTTCCTAAAATAACACAAAACTTAAGATTACAAAACTTTCATTTTAATTAAAAAATGTTGAAAAAATACTAGCAAAATCATAGACGTCTCAGATTTGTTTTACAGGAATAACGTGGGCGGATATACCAGCACTATATCGGGCTTCTGCTCCTATTTCTTTGATGGAAATAAACAAATTCTCTTGGACACCCTGTACAACCGCCCCAGTGAAACTCTGAAGGAAATGTGGACCTTGTCCCGGCTGACCGGTAACGAACCGTAACGACAATCACACAAGTTTGAAAGCCTGACAGCTAGATCAGTTGTTCGTTGTCTTGATGTATTTCACTTAAAGTATAAATTGATTCGTCGCACATCACTGAATAGTTCAGCTTCTTGGCCACAACAGAGCACCGTCTGACGGGCGTGTGCCTTCCGCAGGTGAACGGTACGGCGAGAAGAAAGGTCTGATCATCCTGACAAGTGCCGCGACGATGGGCGCAGCTGAGGAGTTTGTCTACATCATGAAGAAACTGGGCCGGGCCACCGTCATCGGCGAGGTCACCCGCGGTGGCTGCCATCCGCCCGAGACCTTCCGCGTGGCTGACAGTGACGTGTACCTGAGTGTTCCCGTTACCCGATCGGACGCACTGCAGGACCACGGCTGGGAGGGGGTCGGCATCAGCCCTCATATCCCCGCGTCTGCTGACGCTGCACTGGACACGGCTAAAGAGCTCCTGAACGAGCACTTCGGTGGTCAAAAATAAGTCCCAGAATTGGGCCTGGAGGGGGGAGGGATGGCGACGGAGCCAAACAAGCCCCCACTTAGCAAAATTAGGGCAGTGTGTTCATTCGGGCATAGAATCCAGGTACTTATGTCTTTCCCACTATCTTCTGGTGCCCCTTTGTAGTCACCTGGAAAGATCCGGCAAAGACCGGAGCCTGATTATACTCTCTTAGCCTGTGCTTGGGTGTGCGACAGCGAGCAAATAATGATTAGCAGGGTTTTGGTGATGCTAAGCAATGATGAAATTAGACATTTTGGTTTTCTCTAGAGTATTTTTTTCATACATTCATCCATCCATCCATCCATGCATTATCCTATTCAAGGTCGGGGGGGGGGGGTCCGGAGCCTATCCCTGAGGCTGTGGCCACAAGGCAGGGAAAGATGCTTTTAAAAACACCGAAGAGAAAGAAAAAACACATGGTCTCTGCTATTCATCACAGCTTGTAGCTACTGTCATATATCGTTATTGTATCATGACACACTTTGTCACATGCATCCATTTAATGAGGTCATTCCTGTTCCTCCGGTGTTATCATCACACAATCATTAAAGGAAACGGTTCTGAAAGTGTCCATATGCACAAAAAAAAACTCTGCAGACGGAACGTTTATCCAGCATTCTGCCCGAGGGTTCTGTTAAGGTAAGCAGTTTAGACCCTGTAAGTTCAAAGTGATCTGAACTATGAAATGTGGTGTGCTGTTTTTTAAGGCTTCAAAAGGATAATGGAGAGCAGCACCCCCTTAAATAACCCCTGGTCAAAGAACTGAGGGTACATTCCTGCTTTAGCTACGTAATGGCGACGAATTGAGCCAATGGGGAAGGGGTGTATTTTTGAGACGCCAATTAAAAATTCCAACACCTAAAGTTGATCCAGCGGAGTCTCTTGAGAAGCTCTGGACTTGTGGACTGGGGTAGCTATGTAACTGTATTCAAAGGTGTCACTGACACGCGCCGCGCACCGGCATACATCAAAACAAAATGGCTGCCAAGACACAAACCAGCAGAGCGTATAAACCCGAAACGTGACGCAACACAATGTAAAGGACCCTCGGGCATTTTCGTTATGCATTGGCCTTTCCCCAAACAAAAAGGAAATGTGAAAATTTTCCAACTAAATGAGTTCATTCGGTATTCCAGGCCTCCATGAACACACTATCAAGCCAACCCATTAGCTAGTTTTGGTTATTCAGACTGCATTTCTATTGCCAGAGGTTCTTAATAATGCCCATCCCTTCATCATGTGCAGATTAAAAATTAAGTAAAAATGAGGAAACCAAATGCTGCCACAGAGAAAAATCAAAATAAATCTCTCTATGGTAAGATGTGCATATGGGCAACCAAGTGCAGTTTAATTTCCCATCCAGTAGGTGGCAGTATACTCCTTTTTTCACTGGAATGAAAAGGAAGCCAATATCCTCGGCTCTGTTGGCAAGGAAAGTTACAAAGTACCTAGGAAAACAAACCAAAGCATCTCCTGGGGTGCAAATGAGTTGTTCTGTCATTATGCTACAGAAGAAGTATTTGCACATTTAACATTACATTGGACAAACAAAGCAATAACGAACATTGGCACCAATTAGATTTCACAGTGCCAGGTCAACCCATTTGTTTTTGTCAGGCAATATGTAGCACTGTACGATAACACTGTTCAAATGAAAACATTACTGCGGAGGTATCGGTATGGATGAGAAGAGCTGTGATTTCACAGTCATCTGGAAAATACACAGACTGCACTACAGTTACAGCTAAAATCATGAAAAAATACGGCCTTCTTGGAAATGTCCTCTGCACACGAAGCCGGAGAGATTCCTCTGTCTTCCGGCAGTGAAGAATCCAGACGTCTGAATGTCATCCAGGAAGTCAGGTGGCACCTGATCTAGCAGATTTTCACCGCAGAGCCACAGCGGACTGAGTCATAAAGGACTGTCCTGAGAGAGACGGACGTGCCGTCTGGCATGACATCAAGGCTCAGAAATCTGTCTGGCCCAATTCAGACACAGAAAACCACCATTGACAGATGTTCTGGAGACATGGGATCATTTGTGTGGCCAATAGGGTTAGAGTGCAGGATAATACTAGTGTTAGAGCTTGGGTTAGGACGCTATTAGGCTCTGTGCTACAGCTATAGGGCTATGGTTAGAACATTTAATTCATGAAAATAGCTGAAATGTGTCGTATTGTGTTCAAGTTGTTTTTCTTAGGCATTTGACATCATGTGCAATTTGGCTGTTGGTCTTTATTTTGCTGGTTTTCCTCCTTCTTTATTATTCAGTTATTATATCAATTTATTATTCCTGATTATTACAATCTGTATTGTTTGCATGCCTGTACCTCCAATAACCACAATCCATTACAGGGCACACCTAAGAAGGGCTAACTCTTATGACCTCGATATTTAAAAAATCCAGGCTTCAGCTCCGATTGTTTGTACTTCATTATGAAAATGTAATGTTTGAAGATGTTTGAAGCATATTACGTGAGTAGAGGTAGTACTGATGGCCTGTATTAGGTTGGCAGACAGGAGATGGGCGGAGCCTGCTTAGGGCCAATAGGATTCAGTCCCACCCAGCATCTTCAAAGCCACGACCTTGAATTCTGTATACAGTTCCAAGTGGTTGGAAAACTCTTATAAGCTAACAGCAGAAAAACAATATTAAAGATGAACCATTGCAATGTGTCACATAATGTAATGAGACTCTCTTTGTTTAAGATTAAGGCCTTTAACTATTTTGCCAATACACCAATAAAATATTGCGGCACCATGGGTCCAGCCGGTAAGGCTGATCACGCATGCTCCCCACCGTGGGGCCGCCCGGTAAGGCTGATCACGCATGCTCCCCACCGTGGGGCCGCCCGGTAAGGCTGATCACATGTGCTTCCCGCCGTGGGGCCGCCCAGTAAGGCTGATCACGCACGCTCCCCACCGTGGCGCCACCCGGCAAGGCTGATCACTCACACTCCCCGCCGTGGGGCCGCCCGGTAAGGCTGATCACGCACGCTTCCTGGCGTGGGGCCGCCCGGTAAGGCTGATCACGCACACTCCCCGCCGTGGGGCCGCCCGGTAACGCTGATCACGCACACTCCCCGCCGTGGGGCTGCCCGGTAAGGCTGATCACACGCATTCCCCGCCGTGGGACCGCCCAGTAAGGCTGATCACGCATACTTCCTGCATGACATGCATGTAGCTGTTCATGTTTTTTCATGTGTGTGTTCATCTATTCATGCTATAAATAGCCATCCGTTCCTGTTGTCATTTCCACCCATAGTTCTGTAGATGGTGTTTCCAGCTGTGCACTGACCATACGTCCTTCAGCTGGTTGCTAACTTTCTGCCACCCCAAGGGACAGCTGCAGTGGTGGCTGGGGGCCCTTCAGGGGTACGATTTCGAGGTCCACCAGCTCGACATTGGTGGCGAGGGACTGGCAGCCATCGATCGCCAGCGGTGGCCAGTGTAGCAATCAACCAATCCGGTGCTGGCCTGAGTCGGGGGTTTGCTGAAGGCAGGAAGTCGAAGGTCTCTGCTCTCGACCAAGAGTATCAAGGCCCTCTATACACAGTGAGGAGCCCTTAACGAGGTATAATATGATAGTTGTACCAGCCCTGGCAGTCTCCACCAGCAGCCCGATCGGACAGCCACCTGCCCCGGGTCCTGGGGGCATACCGAGTGTCGGGTCAGGAGAGCACTCGGTGCACGCTGCCTCCGTGGGTGTTTGGGTGGGAGCTGCACAGTGTACTTGGTGTTCAGGCCGCCCCCAGAGCTGGAGGTACTGAAAGAGCCAGGTTTGGAGTTCCTGTGATATCTCTGAGGGGTCTGAGTGGCGTCTACAAGCTGGCGCGACAGCCCCAAGGCACAGTGACTGTCCTGCTGGGACACGCCCACAGTACACGCAGCCACCGACAGCACCTCAGTATCGGTGACCCACTTTGGGTATACTGTCCTCCTCGTAAGACAGGCCGGCTGTCGAAGCAGGACAGCCATTGGAGAGGGCTGGGGAAGATCCTCAAGGACCTCTCTGCTGTCGTAGACCACCTGCAGCCATACACCTGCAAAGGGATTATTTGACCCCCGTATCACCCCCTGGCCTGACGTTACCTGGAGATAAAGGTACACCTGGGGCCCTGGAGACTGTGTGATGCCAGTCGCGGCAACATCGCTGGCTTCCATAGCACTTGCGGGATTTAGTATTGGACTTGGGGGTCACTGAGGACAGCTGCGCCCTCAACTGGGGGCAATGTGAGTTGCAGGGCTGGTCAGTAAGGCTAAACAAGCATATAAATAAAATACTCTTTACAATGGCTCATGTAGTTAGTTTAAAATGCGGTGCTAGTGTCATAATCCAAAACAAAATAATGTCCCGCTGAGTAGCAGAATCTGGCCCGCTATACACATATACTCTTGGTCGAGAGCAGAGACCTTCGACTTCCTGCCTTCGGCAAACCCCCGACTCAGGCCAGCACCGGATTGGTTGATTGCTACGATATTCTGAATCTCCACAAACAACACATTATTAATCATAAAATAAATTATGAAACGCAATTTATCTGAAGTGGAGTCAGCAAGGAAGGAAGTGATGAAGTGGACATAAAATATTTTATTAGGTGAGAAGGAACGCGTAATTAAGACTGTGCGTCAAATTTGTATAATTTGCGGATTTCTAACTGCGATGGTTAGCAATTATATGTTAAGTTACATCCACCCATACTGTAGTGCTGGCAAGGGCATTTGGGGCAGTACAGGAAGTTTCTGAACTGGAGTCTTTTTTTGCCCCAAGCAGAAATATGAAACCCGATTTGCCTTCGTGCTTATGAGCAGCTTGAGTCTGATGTCTTTTCGCAAAGTGCAAATCTTTGCATTTTCTTTGTGCTTGTTGCCATACAGTTTGTAAAACTACAGCTGTAAAGTATTCAGATAGCTGATTCTTAAGCAAGATCTCTACTTCTCACTCTGCTCAAGGATAAATCATTTCGAGTCCATTCTTT